CGCAGGTAGATGAGCCTCCAGAAGACATCATGTGCAGCTGCGGCTCTCGGGCCGGTCGAACTCCGTGCTTTGTGCCTTGCTGGGCGCCTGCAGGCTCGAGGGCATCTCTTACTGCAGGGTTACGTTGAGCACGGCGGGCCGGCAGCAGTGCAGAAAGGCGCTGTCCGCACGCTGCCCCTTCGTGCTGTCCTTCCTGCCTGCAGGCACCTCGCTTTGCTCCTCGTTCCTGTAGGTGTGCTCGATAAGAAAAATGACTGCGCTGTCCTGCTGAATTCTTACCAGGAAAAAGTCAGTCCCCCTGTCACTGACGGATAGCTGGGCCCATTGGGCGCTTTCTGGAGCAGAATCCTGCATTCACAGAATGGCTCAGCTTGCAAGGGGCCTCAAGGAACATCCGATTCCAAACCCCGTGCTGTGGGCAGGGTTAATTTTTCAGTATTGGTTATGTCATTTGCTGACCTCATAAGAAGAATGCTGCAACACTTTGCTGCTAAATTGCCTCTTTGTTGGCTACCGCATCCATCATTTTCTATACAGATAACACTAGTGCTTTTCTCTGCTAAGAGTGTGGCTTTTTCACTGTCCTGCTGAGAACAGGAAGTGGTGTCTGTTAGAGGCAGGAGGAATGGCTTCTGCAGGGTGGAAGAATTTGAAATCTTCAGAAACCTGCCTTAGGAACTAATCTAAGAGAGCTCATCCTTTGTGGTGGCAGGGGATTTGGAGAGTCATGATCCTGGAGGTCCCTTCCAACCCTGGCCATTCTGTGATTCTGTGATTTGTGGCAGGCAAGAGTCCCATGTTTGGGGATGTGGATACAATTGAATCTCTTCCACAGAGTCACATTCTTCCACTGTCATAGAAGATGGTGCTGCCTTATGGTTACGACTCTGGAGGATATTGATGCTGAGTTCTAGATCTGAAATATCCTTCAGACATAAAATTGCTCTAGATGTAAACCAAAACAGGATCTTTGAAAACCCAGCAGTAAGAGCTCTGCTTCTGCTTGGAAGGTTGGCTGGAGGGCTGCATGTATTGGAAGGGAGATGTGCCTGCACTCCTTCTCAAAAAAGGCTCTTGTGCCTGTCCAGTCTGTAATTGTTGAATTGGCAACCGGAGTGTCAGCATGGAAGCACATATTGTTCAAAATGACTTCAGAGTTCAGGCTCTTGGTTCAGCCACCAAAGGCAAAGGCCAAGAAGGAATGCTACTGTTCTCTGAGGATAGAGGAAAGCAGCAGAACTTTAAGGTCTAATGAGGAAGGGAATAAAAAGTTACAAAATAGAAGGTTTGAAAGTAATTTTGTAGCTTGGGAAAAGCAAGAGAGATAAGCATCATGAAAGGGGAGGCATGGGACAGGCAGTCCCCCAGACAATATTTTTCTGCTCCCAGTGCTGCACTAATATTAATGAAGAGCAAAATCTGAATAAGCCACTCACCCCTTCAGAGTTTAGGCTGAGAAGGTGGCAATTAGGCTGATTTGTTTAGCAATAGGGATCCAGTATATTAGTTTAAGGGCCAATATATGAGTTCAGCAAAAGGAATCAATGAGTGCCAATTCTAAAAATTTCAACTTTGGTGCGTGAACAGCTTTGTTTTCTCTTAATTCTGCTTCACGAGAAGCACTGGAGTCACAACAGACTAATTGTCTTTGCATTTCATCAGGTGCAAGGGTGTTTTCCACAGATTTTCACATATATTATTTTGGAAATTGCTCATTATGGCCTAACGAGCAATTGAATTTTGCCAGATTAGGGAAAAACAGCTAAAGGTCAGCCATAAGTCTCTGTCGTGAAGCTAATGGTGGAAAAATGGGGATAAAGTGGGCATACAACTAAATGCAACTGCACATGCACAGAGGAACATTAACATGTATTAATGAGTTACTGGAAAAGAATGAAATGTATGTCTTAACTGTTTGAATGTAGAACCTCGACTCTGAAAGCGCGCTGGCTTGTGAAGTCACCCGGAACGTATCGTGAGGAATAAAGGAATGCTGCTTTCAACACCGCACTGTAGTCAGAGCGTTTTCTGCCTGGATTTCGAGTGACAATTTGGATTACAAAGGCAGCCTTAGCTGTACTCTCTTGCTTACAGCTCTAGTAACTATTGTCTCACCATTTTTGCACTGAGCTAATTGTAAAGCCAAAAAGTTTTGAATGGTCTGGAGTTGCTCTTGTAGGCTTGTGCTTACTAATCCATACTGGCACACACTCACCTGCAGCCGTCTTATTGTAAAAATCTTAATCTCTTGAAGTCTTGGTGTGAAAAGGAACATAGGCTGAACGCCCGTGTTCCCTGCCCTCTTCAGAAAAGTGGAGAACTAAGCATAAGTGCTCTGCAAGATCGAGATAAGTCAGATTTCTTCTATATAAAATTACCGTACAATAAAACAAGGCACAGAAATATTTGAGAAACATGGGATTTTTTTCCCCTGAGATGGAATTTCTATGGAATTTTAACTGTGGAGCTTCCCCATTCACATCTCTTCAACTCTATTCGTAAAAGGAGCTCAGAGAGAAATAAAGCTTTGCCTTTGCCCCACTTTGCTGCAGCCTGGACTCTGCAGGACTGGGTCTTTTGTAGTTCCCAGTGTGGCATCTCTCCCACCGCTTGCTCTGAGTGCTGTTGTGTAGCCAGTTATCTTTACATTCTTTAGCACTGTTTATTGCTAGCTCAACTGGATCTCCTGTGAGTTTCCTCTCGTTCTGTAAGAAGAAAAGCCATATAAGAACAGGGGGTGTAGAAACATCTGTGATTAGGGAATCTGTAATTGGTGGAAAGACCAGTGGTGCTACAGCTTAAACATTTTTCATCTTTTTTGAGCAGATACAACTTCTGCAGCGGTAGAGAAATCCCATACGTTTTCATTAAATCCAGCTTATTTTCATGTCTCCTTTTAAGCAGATTTGTTCTATTTGTGAGGCAGGCCTTAATATATGTTCCAGTTAGTTACATTCTGGCATTCAGCTTTTTCATGGTGCTCTCAGCCTTGACCAGTTTCATCTCATGTCCCCAAAGCCACTCCCAAAGAAATCCTCCTCCTGGTCTGCAACACACTGATCTTAAAAGAGGGAGTGGAAAGCAATGGCAAAAGCAAAGGCCATCAACCAACTTCAGTCTTGTGACACAGTAGTCACTTCTCTGTGATGCTGCATTTCTTTAAACAGAATTTAGCATCCTTGTCTTTTGTTCTGCATTGTACCCATATGGTTTGAGTCTTGCTCAAAAAAGCAGTCTACAGTGTCTGAGGTATAAGAATAGAGTGGGTTTTAAGATGCTCAATTTTCTTGTTCTCACACCTGGTCCTGCTTCTTAGCTTTGGAGAGAAAGATAAGAAGTAGGTAGCAGTTTAAATGTGTTGCTCATTGCTCTTCAAGGTTGAAACAGGAGGTGAAGCGGGATGGTAGCATGCTGCCCAACTATTTGAGGGGGATTTCTCCAGACATAGGAGCTTTGTGCCTTCCAGTAGCTTAAATAAATACAACAGCAATACCACAACAAGCAGGATCGACTGACAGGAACAGTAATGATGGTAAATCAAGGGAAGTGACACAGGTAGAAGGGCAAAGTTGTTCTGAGTACGTTACAACTTAAAACAGCATTCTGGTTGTCACCTGGGGTCAGATCTTCCAGCACCTTTGGTATTTTCCAGAATTGAATTACAGACTCCAGAGAAAGAGTGAAATACCAAAAAGTTCAATGCAACTGTAGCTGAGACTTATGCTTTCAGTGTACAGAAGCAGAGAGAACACCTTGCAACTTGTGGGGCGCTGCCCCCCCATTTATGGGAGCTTTGCAGCTGTGCCACCATGGCTACCATCTCAGGTAGGAATGCAGCCATGTTACTTTCCTAACTGTGGACTCGGGTGAACGTTCGGCTTCCAGCTCCTAGCGGGTATTACTTTTCCATTTCCAGGCAACTGCAGTAAAACAAAACACCTCCTGAGTGTCTGCCCTCCAAAGGGAGGCAACCAGGCTGCGCCAACAGGCAGAGAGGCAGAGCTGAACCTGCAGGGAAAACAGTCCAGAGTCTTTGCTCAGTAAGGTCATTTTCTGTTCAGCTGGTATTTCACTACTTCAGCTGCTTATTCTGGACAAATCCCATCCCTGTGGAACGATGCAGGCCTGGATTTTCTGCAGGAACAGCCCGGCCAAGCCGCACCGCAGGCCTCCATGAGGGCCGTTTGGGGTCTATTCCACACAGGCCATGGAAAAACTGTTGACGCAATGGCGGCAGACGTTACGTTGGTACCAAAAGGCGGAGGAGCGTCAGAGATGCAGTGCTGTGCAATGCCTGAGGTACCACGCCACTGGGGTGAACGTGGTAAAACACATGAGAAGAGACACAATTATTCTTTGAAATGCCGCTTCACATTCTCGGACATTTGAAGAAGGTAATAACGAAACCTTGACCGCAGTTGTTTTACCTATGACAAACGCTTCCCCTTTTGCATTGGGAGCGCAGGCCTCGCGGGTCAGAGCCCACCACAGCCCGCAGCAAACTCCTTCCTCAGGAAAGGCCGGAGCTGGCTGCCGCCCACCCCGGGCCAACAACGCCCGCACCCGGGCCGGCCCCAAGCATCCGGCGCTACAGCCGGGACGGAAGAGGTGACAAGAGGCAGGTGGGAAGGGGTCACCGGAGGGGAGGCCGGGGAGCCGGGCGGGGTCGCCGCCGAGGAGCCGCGAGGGGCGCGGGGAGCCGCCCGGCAGGGAGGGGGGATGGGCGGCGCGGCCCGGCGGCCATTTTGAGGAGGACAATACCCGCCGCACGGCACGGCCCGCTGCGCCCGGCGGGCGGGCGGGGCGCGCGCGGGCAGCCGGCGGGGAGCGCGCACGCTCCGCCTCCCGCCGCCGCGTTATGT